ACTGCATGATATTTTATGTTCAGCACGTCTTTTCTCAGTGACATTCAGAGCGATGTCGGTAACCTACATATTGCTTATAAATATGATTATTTTGAATTTGATCTTTCAGACACCTTTTTTCTCTTTGGCTAAGGAAGGCAACAGTTAGTAAACAAGAGCAAGATTCATGGACTTACTCCAACTGTTGTCACAAAATTGCATACGGTACATTTCACAGATCGTGCTCCATACTGGTACATCAGTAGCATCCTACAATTCCCACAATTGACTTGTGCCACCTGATTTGCTGTCAGAATGCACATTGATGCTCATGCTTACTAATAGTAATAGTTTTCTACATTTAATAATACTTCGAGACATTATGAAAGCCATTAGTGTAAGATAAATTTCAGATAGCAACATTATTCTCTATGTACCTTCCAAGGCTAGATTGACGGTATGACAACAGGAACATTGAACACTTGTGGCACCACGGATGTACATGAGTAAGGTATGGCAGCCTCCACAAACCAACTGAGCCATTTCTGTGCCTGTTCAAAACTTTTGTTCTCAGGACTTAAAATGAAAATAGACATTAACTGCATGTGTTTCAGGTTCTTCCAAGCCTGAGGGAAAAGCAAAGTCTTTTACCAGGTAGTGGCACAGCTGTTACTGCATTGCATACAGCACAGCACACAGAGGTTGCTCCCACCGGATAGAGTAAAAGGTTTTGACATCCAGAACACACAAGTTGGCTCTGAGCACCTGATGACATAGATTCTGACTACAGGTAAGTGATAGAGATTGGTACAGAAAAATAAGGGAATCTAGCAACTTTTCATGTTTCAGAGAAATATATAGATCTCTAGCACTTGCCCTGTATTCAACCAAACTCTTTATGAGTTTGTCCACTCTAGAAGGGAAAAGTAAATTTAGGAAACAAGCTTGTTCATAAGAAGCAGCATCCTAATTAGCACATTTTTGCTATTAATTTTTCATTGCAACATTTTTTTTTTTTTTTTGGAAAGGAGATCAAAAGGGGCAACAAAGAAGGAATCTGAAAAATGTTAACTAATGACAAAGCAGTTGTAAATAACCAAGGTTTCTTAAGCATTCCTTTTCTTCTCTGAGGAACAAAACAGTTGTATATTTCTAATTGTTTCAAGATAAATCAGTTGCAGGATAGAGTAAGATACCATTGGCTGGTGATGAATATGGTGCTGGAGGTGTTGGATATGGAGCAAGAGGAACTGGCATTGCAAAATCAATCAGAGCTACAGTTTTCTTCCAATCTTCTAACTGCTTAGTACTTTAGAAATGAAGAAAAGGTGATCTCTCTCCCATCTGAGAAAAATAAAAGAAAAGGCAGCACTTAGGAGCAGGACTGGCCAGATATTAATGGAACAGACTTAGTTCCTGAACTCAACACTGCAATGGAAATTATACCAGTTAACAGTTAGAATTGCAAGAGAGGGAGAAGGTAAAAGATGGAGAAAGGGAATGAAACAGTTGCACAACTAACCATACAACGTCGTGTGTTTGGTATATCAAGAATTGAAGACAATAAAAAAGCAACACAATCCTGTTGAAGCATTGTGCAGTGAGGCAAAAACTTACCTGTGCAGTTTCCAGATGAAGGAAGAGAGGGAGAAAAGGATAAAAGTAGGAATCGACCAAGAGAGGGAAGAAAGAAGCTGGGGTTAAAAGGACATCTTTTTCTATTTCCCTTCTTAGTTGAATGGTTGATTTTAATTTTGGTTCAAATACTTTTTTGTCCCTCAACTTTGCAATTTTGAACTTTCATTTTCTTCTTTTTTCCCCGTTAATGCTTAACTTCCATTTTATTTTGGTGATAAGTCGAGATCAACTTTGTTAGAAACTATAGGGACCACTTCTCTCTTCCTCTCTCTCTTACTTATGCTTTGCCTTTGCGTAAAACATTGCTTGTGGATGAGGTGAGTATTCAGCCACATTGCATGGAAGAATTGAATCAGGACCGTCTATCAGCAAGCGGTCTTGGGTTAGCTCTATGGTTTGTATTGCAGGACCAGAACTTTAAGCTGGGGGTCAGCTTATAACAAATGGATATATATTGATACACATGACCTCTGACAATCCATCCCTAGCTTCTTTAACTTATGGCACAAATACTTGAAGCTTGGCTTTGTTTGTTTTTAATGCATTTGCTATTTTTTCAAGAGAATAAGATATGGATTGTAGAAGAAAAGACTGACTGGTTCGAAAGATGTGAAATGATTGACTGATTGATGTTGTACCGCTGCGCATGCATTCAACTATTTCAATGAAAAGACAGGAAAATGCAAAATTTTTATTCATGTGGTGAGGAAAATGTTCTTGCAAAAGACTGGACAGGGGGTTAGGGAGGGACAAAAGATTGTATGATGAGAAAGAGTCGATGCAGTATGGGCATACAAGCTTGAAGTCACTGCAGAGAACCATATGAGGTCCATAGATAAGTATGCATGCAACGGGAAAAAAAGGGTCCACAATGTTGTACTTTTGTTGGCATTTCTCCGCATTCTAAACTGGATATTCTAGCCTTTGCTATTCGAGAAAAATCGAATCTAGATTTTTTTTTAACTTATAGCTCGAAAGTTTTGAGCTTTTGCTTAGAGAATAAATCATGCATTTCTCCTTAACTTCATGTGTTTCTGATGCAGCTACCCTCCCCTCTAATATCAGTTGAGTTTTTGCAGTATCCTTATTTCATTTCAATTTAGCATTTTGTTAGAATGAAAACTCATCCATGGCATAAACACGGTAATATATGATCTACATTTAGATTTGTGGGGGCATCCAGAGTACACCAAACTTTCTCCATATTTATAGAGGGGTCCGTCTGCCGACAATAACCCATCATTGGATTTCACTGTTACTTCAGAATCATGAACAATGTGATGCTTTGGGTCCATATTTAGGAAGATGCATCGTTGCTTGTAAGGAGATATTGAACGCAGTCATGAGAGGGAAAAATAACATAAGCTAAGTTTTCTTTCTTACCCATTTGTTGGAGTGAAATTTTCTCTTTGGAGGATGAAAGAATATTGATACATTTGAAATGGTAACTTGAATTGTGTTTCTTTTCAGATAAGGCCAAAGACACTCTTGGGCAATAGAAAAAACCACACAAGTTTGTGGAAACAAATGTATTGGCAACAGAGTATGTAAGCTCTGAGAAAATCTGAGAAAAAAGTCTAGGGACAAATTTTCTTGTTCAAATGTTTTTGGTAAGCACAAACAATTTAGGACATTTTTTCTTTTTCATTGTCAACTCTTCCTCATCATCTACTTCTTTTTTTTTTCCTTTTTTTTTTCTCCTTTTTTGATAACATGATTGGGTATTTAGATTTTTTTACTTGACTAATTTGTATTTGTAAAACCGTCCTACTTATAAACATTGAGTAGAACTCCATTTTCAAGAGATGTGATTCTCATTTATCTTTATTTACTGAGCTAACCCCAGTGAATTTATATTATGTTCCTTTTATTTTATTTTATTTTTTTGTGCAAACAATAATAATCTTCAATTCAGATGACAATTGAGGAAATATAAAATGGGAAGAAAGAAAATTACCTCATATTTGAAAAACAAAGATATTCTAAGGAAGATCTGTAAAGCAATTAACTAAATTATTGACAAAAATATTCTTCTTCACCCATACCATTAGGGTTCAAACTTCTTTCCCTAACCTTGTCCCCCATTGGAGTTTCAACCACCTTGCTTGTCAAACACATATTATCTAATGACGGAATTCCCACAGGTTTGTAAGGCCAATATCATTTTCAACCATTAATTAACTCACTAACCATTTTCAATCATATTCTAAGGAAGATCTGTAAAAGATAAGAGGATCAGGCACCAATCCTAATCAGTATGATCCAGGGTAATCTCATATCCTGGTGTGGCAGTTAGCTTTTGGTGGAGTAGGGCCACAAGCCCTCCAAAAAGATAAGGAGTGGAAAAAATTGGACATAATTTGATATACATCAATTCGGATGAACGAAATGCCTGCTTAACTAAGCCTCTGACCTAGTTTGATCCCAGCCATCTTCAAACTGAAAGGAACGTTATGACGTGGCAACAACAGGGCTCGAATGTCATCCTGACATCAAAAAGATGTTAGATAACATCACATGCTGACATTTCAATCCATTGGATACCAGTCCAAAGACCGGAAAACTGATTTCTTTGAACTACATGTCCTTAAGGGAGAAAATATATCAAAGTGTAATCTATGATTGACATCAATAACTCAGCACTCCCATAGCAGGTAGAACAATAATACTCTTCTTGGCTATTGATCCAGCAAATATTCAATGACATCGTCCAAGTCCTGCTGGGAGAATTAGAGTGCTGGTGAGACGAACATTACTACCTTGAGGACAGGCTGAGCAGCTTCCACACTCTGATTCTATGTAAAGATGGAATTCTGGGAAAATTATAACTCTTTCTCATTCTTCATCATTCTCTGCATCAGGACTTCCGTAGACAACATTGAAGTAGTAGCCCACTGTTCTAACCGTGAGGCCTGGAAACCTGTGAGAATTGCCAGGCCGTAGATCTATCTTGACAAAAGGCCACTGCATGATCTGTGCAGCATGACACTCCTCCCATCCGTCTCCAATTACACAAAAACGAATATTTGGCTTGTTGAAACGTTCCTTGATCCACTGGAAACATTTTAGTTTCCCAACTTCCCACGAGCTGTAAACTGAAGGAACAAATGAATGTCATTGGCCTTATTCAACTTTATTCTGCTCTTGATAAACTATGACTCAATATCAAACTCAATGCAGCCAAATCCTAGTAACAAACTAGTTGGGGTCAGCAATCAGCTGCATAAATTTCATCCTTCCTATCCAATCAAGGACCATATATAAATCATGGATAAACCATAATAGGAAAAAGAGAAAGACAAGATCTACATTCTGTCTTCACAGAATTTGTTATTTCAATTGATATAGAATGGTGGCCATATCCCCTAATAGAACCTACAATCTATAAACCACGTAGCCGTAACTCAGAGATGAATAAAGGATAGAAACTTCTCTAGAAAAGCTAACAAGATCTATCAAAATTAAACAAGATAAAGTTCAGTCAACTGTCAACAATGCTGCCCCTATGATTGATCTGTCAATAGATTCTACATGGATTGCACTAAAATCTGCTTTAAAAACGCATGCAAAGGAAGACAAACTACAATAATATTTGCCAATTAAGGTTGAGGGTGGTACTAAAATTTTAGTTAGATAAAAATCATAAAACAATCTTGATAAGAATATGGGAACTTTTTAGTTTTTACAAGTTCATGGGGAAGAAATAAATCAGATGACTCACCGTTTTCATGTGTTATCAAACTGTCAAGCTGAAATAGTAAGCATTTTACAAGGCTGGGTATCAATGATCCAGAAGTCACTAAAACATTAATGTGCTGTGTATCAGTAGGCCTGATGACCCCACTTCCCCTATCAGAGGCAGCAAGGGAAGTAGAATCTTCTTTCCCAACCGAACACTCCTTCAAGCATGACTGTGCTGCATTTGGGACAAAAAAAGAAGAGAAACTATAAGTAAAGCAAGTGCTGCAAAAATACATCTCTCATTTTCATTTTTTCAAACATTATTATCTGTTAAGCAAACAGACCAAGCAATACCATGTTTAATACAAGGAAAACACAAACGTGAGCTCTCATTAAGGTTGACAAATTAATGTTAAAATGTGACAAGATTTTGTACCAAATTTAAGTAAATTATCAATTTAACAATTCAGGGCATATTTTCTTTTTTCTCTTGTCAACTTTCAGTGCAATTTATTCCATTTTGCAATTCCTAAACAACCTTCTCCTTAAAAAAAAAAAAGGAAAAAAGGAAAAAGGAAGGCTAACAACATCAAATATTCAAAATCATGGAAAAATGGCACTAAATTACTAACAACTACCTACAACTTCAGCACTTAATTAAACACTGCAACTGCAAAAGGAAATGACTAAACTTATCAGCAACCACACAAAATAAATAGAAAAACAAACCTGAGGAGAGCCATCTATCTGTGTATTCATCAGTCATATCGTACAATGCATTCCAAAGAACCATTGTCTCATGATCAAAAACACCAGATAAACCCTGAAGAAATAATAAAGGGAGTTGAACATGCAATAAAAACCAGCTCTGATTCCACATATATGACAACAGCCACAGGAAAGCTCCTCGTGTTCTAACAATTCATAAGCCCCAATTTTCCATACCTGTTTGTACTTCTGAGCTATGACTCGGAGTCTGTACGCTAGTTTCCTTTTATTCACATCATCATTTGGAGTATTAAATCCATCATGATCAAAATTGTAATCAGACAGATCCCGCCCATCATCATATTGGCTCAAGGCATCAAGAAAGGGGTTATTGTAGTTTTCAATCTAATCACAAAAACATCAACTTTCAGAACGAAACATTGAGCTTTATACATTTATGCCAGATACCCAAATTCTTAAAACATGCAATATAAGCAGGGAGACTCCACGTACTTGTTCATAGAAAAATGACTCATCACAAATTTGAAGAATGTATTTCTCCCATGTCTTCCCAAGTTCTATGCCTTTTTCCACATCCTTTGACCCACTGAAAGCCTCCGCATAAGTCCCATTCAACAAAGACTTGAGCAGTATAAGGGTTTCATCCATGTCCCAGATATAAACATTTGTTGTTTGCGCCATTACTATTTATGCAAACCCTTTAGTCTTCTGATATGTTAACAAAGTCACTACAAATCTGTAAAGGCTAAAATTACAATCTGAAATGCAGGCCCAAGCAGAAGACAACCATTACCAAACAAAATATTAAGCATTTCTAGACTGATAAATCAGAAAACAAGCACAAACAGCTATAGAACTCACTATAAAAAAGAAAACCCATGTCCAAGAAGATCATAACAAAAAAAAAACGACGTACACAGGAATGACACTTGATGCAATCTGAAAATTCAACAATTACCAAACTGAAATTGTCCATCCTTTAAACTTAAACCAGAATCAAGAAAAGAGGAAAAGAGAAAGGACCCAGGAATCGAAATTTGAAATCTTGGTGAATCGCGTTCGACGGCAGCGAAGGAGCAGAGGAGGACCGACGGGGCACAGGTAGCTACGATCGGGAAGATGAGGCGCTGAGGGAGACAGAAGGATCAAATCGCGACATCCTTCAAACGACAGCGTTTGAAAGTCCGGATTTTATCTAAAATGGACCGAACCATCATTAGTCCAATGGGCTTGTATTTTGAAAACATTGGACAAGCCCTTCTTGGAAATATGACGTTCTGTTTGGATTCGGTGGGAAATTGGGCCTCATGGACGGAGAACTGAGAAAAGTGCAATACTATAATAATTTAGTGTAATCTGTTATGGAGACAATCTGGCCCGAAGTTGGCCCAATTAAATTCAGGATCAGACTCTGTCCATGGTCTTGAACTCAAAAACAAACATCTTGGGTTGGTCATGGACCAATCCTGGTAGGATCCACGACCAACTTGGACCAATCCTGTCAAATATTTTTATTTTTATTTTTTATTATAATTATAATTCCCAAAAATAAGCTTGTAATCAAGGCGAGTCCATCACAAATAAATAAATAAATCCTACAAAGACTGTGATTATTATTATTTTTTTAAAATCGAGTTACGATTAAACTTCATAAGAGAAACTTTTTCTGTGCATATTTTTTTATTTACAAAATTTAAATTTAAGATTTTATTTTAAAAGAATAGAAGTTCTTCCAAGCAAAAAATGTAATTATAAAAGAGAATCACATATAGGTTATAGAAAGAAATCATATTTTTATTTATAGGTAGAGTGTTTCTCTATTAGTTTTCTTACTTCTCAAAAACCAATTATTTTTTGAGCAATATTAAAGGTGCGCTCTTATATTGACTTATTGTATTTAAAATTTTAAATTTTTTATGCATTAATAGCAAAATATAAATTTTTAACTAAACTTAAATACTTATTTATTAATAAATTCTGCTTTAATATCATAGAATCCATGCACCTGACTCTAGAGACCCACTAATATTAACCAATCAACCGATGCATTCCCTCTTTCCTTGAAACACACCCTTATCAAAATGTTCCAAAAAAAAAAAACAAATCAAAGAATCCGTGCTATACTGGTCAATTCAAAACATGAAAATAAATAAATAAATCCTTATTGGACTCACCCGACATGCTGACCCCAACTCAATCCCAGCGAACCAAATCAGTGGTCGCACCTAACTTCTCAAATAGGTCGCAATGGTGTATTTTATTGGAAAATGATTTTAAAATAATTTTTTATATTATTTTTTAATATAATTTAATATATTATTTAAATAATTAATTTTTTTATTTTTATGAAATTTATAATATTAAATACATTTACTCATTTAATAATATATAAAACTTATATTAAAAAATAATATAAAAAATTATTTCTAAAACACCATATTATTTTATTTTATTTTCTCACAAGAACTTAGTATGAGTAACCTGCTACCTAAGCACTGACGACAGACTACGGCATTAAGCTTGCGGATGTGGAAAATTTGGATAATATATGACTAATAATGCTTACCAACCAAATTTTGAACATACTTTTCAAAAAACTTATTTTATGAAACAAAAATTCATAGTTAGGTTAATTACTAAATTAGGTTGAGGATAATGACAATGAAAGCTGAAGTGTTTATTACAGGGCACACGGTGAGAAATCTGCATATATAGATAAATATCTGGATAACTTTTTAAGAATCTGATGACAACAGCTTCCGTAGTTCCTTGTGAACCAAGTACATAGATGTGTAAGGAAATTTTGGTCAATAGACCAATTTTTTTTTTTTAATTTTAATATTTGGTAATTTAAATTATATTAAATTATAAAAATTTAACAATTAAATAAAAAAAATCTTTCTGCATTATCAAGGGTACTTATAATTCAATAATTGATATTTTGTAACTTAATATAATTTGAAATATAAAACATGTTTTTCTCTTTATTTAAATTTGTAATAAA